CATGTGCAGATTTTTTCCTTCTGCGTGCGGAATAATTTTACGTGCACCAACACATGTGCGAGTGTACACCACCAGGAGAAACCCAAACCTCCCTGAGGGTGCTCTGCTAATCAACAGGGCAGCATTGGAGTTTCTCCTCAGCTTACAGGGAACACTGATCACTACTTCTTTCTGTGGAGGGAAGGTCTGAGGTCGGCTGGAGTCCTAGGGCAGTTACTTGGGCCCTGTCTATACTTAAAACACTGCCGTGAAGCTGCTACCTACCCCAACAGGAGGGGTTCTCCCCTTGACATAGGTGCTCTGCCTGCCCAAGAGGGGGTGGCTAAGTTAACAGGGTGTTAACAGGTCAGTTTTACTGCATTGCTGGGGGTATGGATTTCCCCTCATGTAGCAATATGGTTTATTCCTCATTTAGACCTGGCCTGAGCCGAAAGAGGCTGACTCTGTCATGGGCAGAGGGCTTGGGGAGGGCACAGTTTGTACATCTCAGCGCTGGCGGGGTGTGCAGGGCTGCGGGCAGGAACCTCTCCTGGCTTCCTTTTCTATCCAGAGAAATAAATACATTGACAGTAACCCCACAGGCATCCGGGGCTGTGAGCAAGTAGCTTCCTGCTGTGGAATACGGGAAACACAGAGCCTCAGCCAGTGGGAAGTGGGGGAGACACCCAAGGCCCCTGGAGATACATTGACGAGTGTCAATTGGCTTATTTGGAGGCAGCGGGGCCAGATCCCCAGCGGGTGTAAATCAGATATTGCTCCTATGGCATCAATGGGCCAAATCCCCACCTGGTGTACACAAGCTGCAGCTGTATTGGCATTGATGGATCAGATCCCCACCTGGGGTAAAATGATGCCTCCCCATTGACTCCAGGCCTATTTATACCACCTAACACGCTGGCCCAATGAACAATTCCTCCAGTGACATGCCAGGGAGCAAAACTTTGCTGGGCTTTGGGAGAAAGAGAAGAGGCAGCAGACGTGTTCCCAGAATCTGAGACAGACTGAGGTTAGCAACCCGGGCACTACCCCACTGAACTGAATGGGGATCGAACCCACTGCAGAAAAGCGACCTACCAGGAAACGAGCCCAGCCCATACTTACACTATAGGGTGCCAGCCCCACGACAGGGTTTCATCCTGCCCTTTTGCACGGGGGGTGTCTCCACCCCAATTTGCTACCCAGATGACTATTTCTATTAGCTCTGCTGCAAAGAAACCTGACCCACATTTGTTCTTAGCCTGTGCTTGTGTACTGGAGGGGAGAGAGGGAGGGATGAAAAGTGCCGGTGCGCTAGCTGGCGTGCGATGTAAAAAAAGTCCATCCACAGTGCCCCAGTCACTCAAAGCCCCATGGAAGTAAAAGCCAAAAGCGAGTGTGGTGATTGGCTCTGTGCCTCAGTTTCCCCTCTTTACGAACATGAAGGGCATGGCTGAAACGGCCAATGGAAGAGCTCAGTATTTATCCCCATTCCTACTGCAGTCTGATCACCTAGGGGAAAGAGGCCACAGAATTCCAGCCAGTCATTTTTCCATCCATCCCAGTATCCTGCAGAGGAAACACGTCTGTAGACCCACAGCCAACCTTTGTGTAAAACAGGAGTGGGGAACTGAAGGTCCGGGGGCCAGATGCAGCCCTGGCTTGCCTGGATCCAGCCTCCAAAGCTCATTCCTCCCCACCCCAGCATTGGAGCTCATGAAATCTACTAGCCTGGGCCCCTTTAGGCTCCAGTGTGCGAGGGGAATGTGGGAAGTGTCTTTCTTCTCACTCAGGGGCCATGTCAGTGAGGGGTAGTTTTTTTTGTTTTTTTTTTTTGCTTCTCACTTGTGTGCGGCCCCTGACTGATTTCCCCCCACCCCTAGACCCCAGGCATCAAAGAACCCACCACATCCCTAGGTGTGCTGGATCACTGGTGCCTTCCAGCCCCTGTAAACCATTGGCACCTGGTGTCCCCTTGGGATGTGTTTGGCTTCACTTTGCAGCCAGCAGCTCTTGTGGTGCGTTTGGGAGATGAAAGAACCCTTTCTTCCCCCCCCCCCAGGAACTTACAGATGGCTGCTAGATAAGCTCCAAAGATCTCTGTCTCTCATCTGTCACCTTCAGGCAAGCTTTCCAGCCCTCCTGTCCTGCTTTGATTGACTCCAAGGCCGGAAGGCGAACCTCAGGCCTGACCACCCCTATAATGCCGGCCGCAGAATCGCTCCCAGAGCAGAGCTATTAGAACAACAGCCCGTCTTGGCTGAAAGATTGCCAGCGATGGAGATTTCCCCCGGGAACTTGTTCTAACGGTTAATTAGTTTCATTGTTAAAAACGCACCTTTTATTTCCAGTTGTTTATGTCTGGCTCCGACTCCCAGCCATTGTTAGAGCCTAGAGCCGGTTGTTAAATATTTGTTCCCCACCTAGGTGTTTCCAGACTGTACAAGACGCCCCTCGACTTTCTCTTTGTTCAGCTAAATCAGGGGTGGGGAACATAAGTCCCGGGAGCCAGATCCAGTCCCCAGCTTGCCTGGATCCAGTCCCGGAGGATCCCGCACCCTCCCTCCTGCCCAGACCCCACTCCCCAAACCCACTTCCTGGCAGCCCCCTCCCACACACTGAATCCCTCATTTTTGACCCCACCCTAGAGCCTAAAGAGGTCCACAAAAATGTACTAACACAGGCCCCCTAGACTCTAGTGACTATGGGGAGGGTCTTTCTGCTTCTCAGTTGGGGCCCATGTCAGCATCAGTTTTTTTTTTTTTTTTTTTTGCTTCTTACTTTTGTGTGATCTCCAATTAATTTTTTCTGAGAGTCGGCAGCCCCGACCCAAAAAAGGTTCCCCACCCCTGAGCTACATAGACTGAGCTCCTGGTGGCTAAGGCACAGCAGTTTAGACCCCCCCCACCCAAAGTTTTTTCACAGTCTTCCATCCTCCATTCCGAAGGGTGCATGTTTCTATCTCATTTCCATTTGGCTACGGGGTTCGCTCGTGTCCAGCTTCCCAAGAGATCCAGATCGCTCTGTGCTGTGGCCCGTCCTCTTTGTTCTTTAATCCTCCCACAAGTGTTATAGGGGCAAGGCTGATTTTATTTTTCCTGCTGGCTCATGGACGAAAATGTTAAATAACATCCCTCAGCCCTTGCCAGTTAGTCAGTAGCCATTTCAACGTGTGGGCACTCGAGTGGGGAACAGAACCCCACTACTGCACCATGTCTGGTGTACAGACTGAGCCTTTCTAGTCCGGCATGCTCTGGTCCAGCAACATCCGTGGTCCAGCATGATTTTAGGGAGCTGGATGTCCACTTGAGTGTGACTAAGTTTCCCGCACTCCCAAAGTTTGTTTCCAGCCACCAGTCCTGGCTCCATGTGGCTACTTAGTTCTAATTGACCCCTCGATGTCTTCTCAGAGCCCAGTAAGCAGTGGACGTGTTGGTGATGCTGCTAGACCATATTGACCTCCCGTGGTCCAGCACATTCACCAATCAGGTCCAGAGGGTGCCAAAGTAGAGAGGTTCAAATTCATGGAGATTGCCTATCTCCTAGAACTGGAAGGGACCTTGAAAGGTCATCAAGTCCAGTCCCCTGCCTTCGCAGCAGGACCAAGTACCACCCCTTACAAATTTTTGCCCCAAATTCCTAAACGGCCTCCACAAGGATTGAATTTACAACCCTGGGTTTAGCAGGCTACTGCTCAAACCACTGAGCATCCCTCCCCCAAAGCAAGCTGTGCAGTTGCACGCAGTCCTGGGACTAAAGGCAGAGGAAGCATGGTGATGTACCCATTACACAGACCGAGGCTAAAGTTCTAATCTCACGGGGGCTCATTTACTGCTCCAGACAAGGCCTGTGTGTTGTGTAACATACTTAGCTCCTGCCTAGGCTGGGATATGAAATGGCTGTAGCTTGGTTTGAGCACCCGGGGCTCAAACTCCAGTGTAGACGTTGCTAATTAGACTCTCCCAGGCTAGCAGATCCTGGTAGGACATGGGGACACGGGGGCGGACGCCTCCTGCTCTTGTAGCATGGACAGTAGCCGGCCATTGGGCTGTTGAGTGCTCCTGTGTGAGAATGGGGGTGTCCCGGTTGATTCACAGGGGATCAAGGGCCACTGTGTTACCCTGGGGTCTGTGGTTCCACAGCCAGGATGGGACCAAGGGGGCTGGTGTATTTGCTTTGGCAATGCCCCTTGCCAGGCTGGTGAAATGACTGGAAGGAAAGGCTGAATCAGGCAGAGGGACGGACGGACAGGGGCCGATTGGCTTTCCTGGGGTTGCTAAATGCATCTGTGAAATTTCACACTGACTGGGGTTGCTAAATGCATCTGTGGAATGTCACACTGACCATCCCCCCCCCTTGGCCCCAGCAGCTCCAGCTGGCTTTAATCCACATTCCGGCCCTGGCTCTGGGGACCGGGGGAGGTGGGAACGGAGGGGTAGGCGGCCTGGGCTCCTGGATGCAAAGATCTGCCCAGCACCTCAGGAGCCAATTCGCCTGCTTGCCATGAGGATGCTGAGTG